CAACTGTCAAACGATAAACGTAGCATCGGAAGAACTTCATCTATTCGACAAAACACTGAATAGACTAAAGACCGAAGGAGTCAAGGATTGAAGCAGTTCACAGGTCCATCTGCGAGATTGAGAAAAGGGTCTATATTATCCAAAGCATTCCAGACTCCCCTATAAAAGAACGAGTCTAAAATTCTTTGGAGGGGGTATCTGTAGGCATCAAAAATTACCTATAGGTCCCCGAATACGACTCGAAACAGAGAGAAGATGACAAACATTGATATCTGAGTCTAAAAGGATTATCTGACGCCGACGCGTGCATGAAACGAAGTGGCGAACCGAGTGGTCTGCGCGCTCGTCAAATCAGCTCACGCGCGTCGGTCAACACGTGCGTGTCAATCAGTTCGTACGCGTTGGTTAACACGCACTCGTCAATTAGCTCGTGCGTGTAGGACAACACGCGCACGTCAATCAGCTCACGCGTGTCGATCAACACGCGCACATCAATCAGTTCGGGCGCATCGATCAAAACGCGCACATCAACCAACGCGCGTCGATCAACACGCGTGCATCAATCAGTTCGTACGCATCGATCAACACGCACATGTCAACCAACACGCGTTCGACGGTCAGTCCCGCAAGGAAACATACAAGTCAACAAGACGATCAATTACGTAAAACGGTGGAGAATACAAGTTCCGAAAAACCGGAAAACACCAAAAGACTCAGCGAAAACGTCAAAACCCCGCGTCCGCGCGGGTCAGACCGCGCCGATCTGTGCCCACGCAGGTCGGCCAAGTCCGACCCGTGGCGGCGCGGGTCGGACCGAACCGACCCGCGCCCCCCGTGGGTCAGCGGTGTGTTTCGCGTAGTTTTGACCCGAAAACGCGTTTTGGCGGTTTCGACGGGTTTTCACGAGATCTTCTCAGTTCCAGAGGTTCCTAACTGCCTAAATCCTATCTCTAAACATGGTTAATCAGTTATTAACTGAAGATAAGGAGGAATCATTTATTCTTATCCAAAAAAACCCCAATCGAAGCCTATAAATACAAGCCTAGGGCCTCCTTTCAGGGAGGGCGGAGTTATTATCAAAAGGGCGAGGTGCTGCCTGATTGAGGAGTCAAAGGAGCACGAATTTCAGCGAGGGTTGACAGATCTTGGCGAGTTCTTCAGCATAAAGAAGGAGAGTTCAAGAGACCCGTACGCCCATTCCTTGAGATTAGGCTTCGTCTTAATCTCGAGAAGAGCTACTGATTTCGCTTGGTCGATTTCAGCGTTTCAATCAAATACTTCCTCGGTGAAGGCGAAGCTCTACCTAATTTTCCATCAATCGGATCCAGATCTAAGGCGGTCCACGGATAAACCCCGGCACATGTAAAGATCCCGCACAAGCAGAAGACCGATAAACGATCTCCCTGTGTTTGTTTTGACGAGAGTTGTAATTTTTATTTTCATTGTGTAAGAGTCTTATATCTCCCTGTGTTTGTTTTGACGAGAGTTGTAATTTTTATTTTCATTGTGTAAGAGTCTTATAAAAAGACTATCTTTTTTGTTTTCATTGTAACGACTGAAGTTGTAATGAATACCGTAATAAAGAAATCAACTTTCACCGCAAACAATGTTCACGAGGTTTGGTCCTCTGACTTACGTTCCTGCTCCCCACTCTCGTGGAGAATTTTACTATCACAACCCTGTTTGGAAGCCGAAACTTCTTCACAATGATCTCCTCTTGAGATCTCACAACCACACAGTATATCTCAATGAGATCAAGCTCTCCACACGTTACAAATGAAAGAAAAGAATCTCTCTTACAACAACCATATGGCAAGATGAAGAGATTGCAATTTAAAGCTTAGAATGTGGGATTTGTAAGTATGAAAACAATTGAAAGTTGAAGTTCTTTTAAACAATAAACACAAACTCAAGAGATTTTAAATGCTTTCTTAGTTTTTTGAAGTGAATGAGGTTAGTGGGTATTTATAAGCATTCAAGAGAACAGTCAAACCTCAAAGAAACAGACAAAAACGTTCAAAAACTGAGAAATCTAGAAACTGTGTAAAACTAGTCGTTGGAAGCTTATCAGTCGACTGACGGGGTTCATCAGTCGACTGATGAGCTAACTTTCGTAAACAGTTTGCAGCTCGTCGGTCGACTGAAGAGCTTATCAGTCGACTTAAGGGTCATCAGTCGACTTAAGAGTCATCAGTCGACTGATAGAACGTCAGTCGTAAAAATAGAAAGTTTTGATGATTCTGGCCAGTTTCTTCAGTCAACTAATCCTTTGCATCAGTCAACTGATAACAAATTTTCAGTCTGTTTTGATTTTTAAAAACGAATTTTTAGGGCCTTTAAAAAATAGTAAATAAATTCTAAAAAATATGAAACTTTGGGAAAAGTTTTTAAATATAATAACAAACTTATTTGAAAAGAAATTTTGCAAAAAGGATCTCGTATTTGTGAAAACTCAAAGTTTAGTAAAAATATCAAAATACGAGTTTTAAAAATGTGTGAGTGTGTTATCCCAAGAACTTCAAATGTAATCTATCATACTACTTGGCTACATTAAGAACTAGAGAGAAATAAAAATGTAAATATCCCTCACATATAAGTACATAGCTTGAGTCTTGATATTTGCTACTATACCGATGATGCTTCTCTTGTATGTTGTGCTCTTTGAAAACTTTGCTTCATCACTTTGCCTCCACCTCCTTGGATACCATCGTTGTAGCTTGTTGTTCCATCCAAAGCTCTAACAATGGTGCTAACAAGCTGGATAGATTGTAATCTACACAATATAGCTCAACAAGCAATTAGTACCAATAATGATGTTTCTAAATCATCATCAAAACAAAAAGGCTAACATATATATCCCTTTCCAAACAAATTATTGAATGAAACTTGCCCCAAAATTCATGCGGAGCTTTTGAAAGTTTAGGGGGTTTTGTGAAAATCCACAAAATGTAGAGGGTTTTCTCTAATATTTAAAGTTTAAAGGGATTTTGTGTGACAGACCCAAAGTTCAATTAGATTCTGTGAAGGCTAAATTTCAGAAAACGCTTTGGACAATTATATAGATAACCCCTATAACTTTTAAAATATCAAAAAAACTCCTTTGAGTTTAGGTTACCAGAAAACCCTTTTCAATTTCAATGTTTTACCAAAAAAACCCTAAAAGCGTGAACCTTAATTATCATTAGCAGAATTATCCCTCATCATAATTTTACCCACCCATGTAATTGCACTTAGGGCAATGTTTGATAAATAGGAAGTAAATGGTAAGTACACCGAAAGTTGGAAAGTGTCTTCCCTTTTTATTTTATCTCATTTGGCATTTAGCAAGTGAATAAAAAATGACTGAAAAATAGAGAGTGTCACATCAACATTTTAGTTTTTTTTACTTTCTCCAAAAGTTGGAGAAAATAAATGGAAAGTGAAGAGAGAGGAGAGAGAAAATATATTTTTAGTTTTTTACGTATAATTTTAGTTTTATCTGTATATTTTTTAGTATTATTTTCTGTGATAACCAAACAAAATAAGAAGAAAGTAAATGTCACATCTAGGGGTGCTAAAACATATCCATATCTTAGAAAATATCCATAATCATATCCTTTAGGATATTAATATGGTTACTAATATTTATAACCGATAAGACATGGTTACATATTTGATTTTATAGTGAAATATTTGGATTCGTATTCAAAATATCTGAATACGTATTAGCTATACTGTTACAATAGTTTAGTCTTTAGATTATGGATTTGAGGTTAATTTTCATGATTAAGATGCCTAATCTTAGCTTTTTAGATATAATGAACATATTAATGAAGTCTTCTGTATCACATGAACTATATATATTTTTAATATTATCTAATTTTCTCACATCCGCTTTTACCCGCATGCATATCCGCTTATGTGTATATATATATATATATATATATATATATATATATATATATATATATATATATATATATATATATATATATATATATATATATATATATATATATATATAGAGAGAGAGAGAGAGAGAGAGAGAGAGAGAGAGAGAGAGAGAGAGAAAACGGGGAGTGAGCTGGCAGCGTAGGAAATTTTCTACGCTGCAAGTGTATGACATGTGAGCCCCCTATTAGTCCAGGCTTCGGTGTGGGCTCACATGTCATACACTTGCAGCGTAGGAAATTTCCTACGCTGCCAGCTCACCTCCCGTTTTCTCATATATATAATATATATATATATATATATATATATATATATATATATATATGTAACCGTATTTCATTTTAGCGATATAAATATGAATTTCTTACCGAGGTCTACCCGTCTCCTTGATGAGTAATTATCCGAGCCATATCCGGACCAAATGCACCCCTAGCTACCTCATTCGCCACCTCAACTTTCTCTCTTTTTTACTTTCTAACATTCAAATGATTTTTACAACTTTCTCTTTTATTTATTTATTTATTATTTACTTTCCCCTTGCCAATCATGCCCTAGTGTGATTTGGAAGGCTTTACGAAGAAGTGCTCTAAGTTGAATGGGGTTTACTACATAAAATTAAAGGTGTTTGCTAATATTGGAAAGAACTCTGCTATTTGGCTCGCGGTTCAACCGCGAGCCCTCAACTCGCAGAGAGGTGAACAGGGGGGCGGGCCCCACAGCAGTGGGGCCCGCCCCCCTGTTCACCTCTCTGCGAGTTGAGGGCTCGCGGTTCAACCACGAGCCAAATAGCCTTTTTGTATTGGAAATCACTTGTGATAAGTGTTTTCATAATAGTAGTTGCTTCTAAAAAAATAGTGAAAGTTCAATATACCCTGATCTTGTCCATTGAAATCGGAGTATATGTTCATGATTATATGGTGATCGGACTCAGCTTCTGGGTATCAACTGAAACATTTATGGGCCTAAAGAGGTCAGGTCCATGCCCGACCCAATTAGGTTTGGGTCTGTGATTTGGATCGGATCCATAGCAACCCGACCCGCTTAAACCCTTGATCCCGCCCGTCTGCAACCTCGCCTTCATTTTTGATTTTACTACTCGAAGTGAGAGTGTTCTAGGGTTTTTTTAGGGTTCCAGTGAAAACCCCAAATCTTCACCTGAAGGAAAAACGCGATCTTTTCCACCCATTTCGATTTATTATCCCTATTCATCGTCTCGTTTTCTGCTTGGTGTGGTGATCTTCGTCGATTCTCGTCGTTTTCCATCGTCTGCAGGTTGCTTCAATGGCGGTATGGTTTCGGGGTCTGGATCCTTTTTGTTGGTTTTATCAAAATCTAGGGTTTTATTGAATCATTAATGATTTTGTTTTTGATTGATTTTGGTCCAGCGGCTGTTTAAAGATGAAGCTACTGAAGAGAAGGGAGAGCGAGCCAGAATGGTAATATCTTACTCCTTCTCTAACAAATGTAGGATCAGATGTACTCTGAACTTAGGATCACTTGAGAAATTTATTTTAAATGCGCTCTTTTCCTTTTAAATACTTTAGTTGGGACTGATATGATTTATGTTCTTAAACGTCCTTAGAGCTGTATGTATTAAAATCATTAATGAGTGAAGGGTAAACTTTGTGAAACCCTCTTAAAATTTGGTCTGATTTGCACAAAGGCCCTTGACATTTGATACTTGGAGAAAAGAAGAATTTTTCAAAACAGACCCACTTCAACTTTTTTTTCTTAAAACCGACCCGTTTTTTTTTATTTATCAAAACCGACCCGATTTTGTAATTAGCAGATTAATCACATTCCTAAACAGTCGGGGTTGGCAACCCCGACTATTTAGGACATTAATTTTTAGGGTTTAAGGCTTCTAATTAGGGTTTAACACATTCCTAAATAGTCGGGGTTGCCAACCCCGACTGTTTAGGATGGTGATTAAGCTGCTAATTACAAAATCGGGTCGGTTTTGATAAATAAAAAAAAAAACGGGTCGGTTTTAAGAAAAAAAAGTTGAAGCGGGTCTGTTTTGAAAAATTCTTCTGGAGAAAACCCCTAAAGTTTGGGGAGTATCATAAAACCCCCTGAATCTTCTTCGACAGTTCTGCCTGAAGTTGGTTTGTCAGAGCAGAGAGGATTACTTCTAGTGTAGTTATTGGAGTTAATCGTCTAGCTTTTTATATCAACTTTGGCCAATCATTGTCTGAGGATTATGCTCATGATGTCTCATAAGGAAAGGCTGTCCGATTAGAAAAAGGACATGTGGAGAATGCTATTAGAGATGTTCCTTTGATCTATTTCTTTGTAAGAGGACATCTTGTTTCTTTTTGTTTAAAATACCCTCAAAGGTCAGAATGGTGACCATTTCCCAGGAGATAAAACTAATTACTGCCTTCTTGTAGGCTGTAATGTCAGCTGACAATTATCCAAGCATAATCTGATGCTTGACAAAAAGCCCCACTTAAGCTCAAAATCCACTGAGGTAACTTAGCTTAGTGATTGGTCATAGATATTCTTTTCCATTTCCATAAAGTAAACACTGACCTATACTTAATGTGTGTATGAATTGAAAATGGTTAGAAATAGCCAAGTAGTGATTGTTATCCCTAATCCTTTGAGTACATGCCCTTGTTTCGTCTAAAAGTATGATATAAGGTTGAGAATAGCTAAAGATTCAACTTATACTTGGCCTCAGGTTTGTTAAATAGAAAGAGACCAGGGAACTCAAGATGTTGGAATATTGCCATTTCCTTTGTGTTGCATATTCTTGTTTTCATTTCAACCATTCTTTTTTCTTTTTCCAACTTTCCTAACTTATTCTTCTTCTACTCTCTTTTTTTAATTTTTCCTATTTATTCATTTTTGAAAAGTTCTTTTTTTCTCAGTTGAGTTTCCTGTGCATTCCCATTTAAGGCTAGCGACTCTATTTCCATTAATTTTTTTTCCTTTGTAGGGCACTGAGCACTGACAGAAACCCATGTTATTCAGTAGCTTTTGGGCAGTACTTTTTGCACTAGAAATTTATAAGATAAAAGATACCTCTCTACTTTTATGAGAATTTTAAAAACTAGAGTAGTTTCTGAATGCATATATGTCGAGACTAGAGCAATCCCTACTAATGTCGATAATAACCTATGTTACCTGGGTACTTCTATTAGGAAGTCATACCCGTACCTGACACGTCCCCGTACATGTATACAAACCTCTTCGACACTTCTTGAATATATGAATATGTTTATTCGGGCCTATACTCAATTATATAATACATGCTTTAATTTAAAACACTCCTCATGCACTTCTTGAATGTATATTCTACACTTCACATTTATTTCTTATATATTGATCTTATGTAAATGAAAAAACAATATTGATCTTATATAAATTACTAATTTTAATACATATAAATATACACAACATGCATGTATGTGGCTATGTCCCTGTACCCTACCTTTTATAAATTTGCCATGTCCCGTACCAGTACTAGTACTCATATAATCCAATCTCTAAGCTCATAGTATATAAGACATTCTCCATGAGAAAATGTTATGAAGATAGAACATTAGATGCCAATGGCTCAAGGCTACAATAATTATGAAACTCTAGTGCTTTTTTAATAGCTTAGGTGCCTTGGATAATGTTTGTCTCTAGCCTTTGATAATGTCTGTCTCTATGCATACAAAGAGGCCAAATAGTTTGTGCATCTCTTTTGGGATAGCAGATGTTTTATCATTGTGCAAGATTCATTGCACTACCTTTCTTGACTAATGTTGGGAAGATTCAGTACTTACTTCAGACCGGGTTTTCTTGATATTCGTGCAAGTCCGGGAGACTTTTTCTTGGCGACCATTAAAACAAAATTTGTGGAAGTTGTTCCTTAGTTGTGTTGTCAACAGACAAAATTGTGCTTCTGTATAGAGTCATGAAAGTTCTATCATAATGGGAAGCTAAAGAAATAAGGCATGCATCCTTAACTGGTTTGTTCAATGTTACCATGCCAGCGAGAATATTTATGTGGAAGGCTTTGTTAGCTCCTAGGAAATTATAGATGGGTGGTTAATGAATGGAAAAAAATATTCTGTTGAAGAGTATTGTTATATACTGATTGATAGAGGTTTGTGGTTTGTGTTTGGACGTTGGAGGAAGGCTGGCAAGATATAAATTGGATACGAAAGCATGTGAGCCTTAACATTTCGAGTTAAATAAACCCAAGGTTAACCAAGTGTAAACCAGTGTTATCGAGGTGCAGGGTGTAATATGGGGCGCAAAGTCCCCGTACTCGCACCATGGGCAATGCAATGCGTGCACCTCATTGAAGCGAGGCACACTGAAGTTACTAAGATAAAGTTATACATTTAAAGAGTAAAACACAACAAAAGTAAAAGAGTAAGCACTGAAATTACTTAAATAAAGTTACTGACTACTGTTATGCTACAAAATTTAAGTTTCTTAACAAAATTTTAAGTTAGTTCTTAACAAAAAAGATTATATACTACTGTATTTGCTTAGTTAGAGGATTAATGAACTTAATAGTAAAGTTAAATCAACTAATAGTCAAATTAAATCAACTAATAGGGAAATTAAATCAACTAAATTAATCAACAGTCAAAGTAATTTAACCAAATTAATTAACTTAATAATAAAACTATAAAAGAGCTAAACTAATCAAAGAGATACATTAATCAACTAACTAACATTAATCAACTAACTAACATTCATTAAGAAATAGTCTTAAAAAATAGATGAATTAGAAAGAATAATAGCTGAAAAAATAGTTCCAGAAAAAACCATGATTTCTGAAGAAAAGAAACGGAAATATTGTTCTTCGAAGAACAGAATTAAAACAAAAGGTAATAGAAGAAATAAGTTACTACTTACTAGAAAAAAACTGATTTATAAAAAAAAATAGCTACAAAAAGGTAAATCTGATCGCTAGAGAATGCTTGACGAAGGGGGACCGACAGACTCTGATCGCTGGAGGAAGCTCGCTGCTTGTTGGGTTACATCCATCAAAGTCCCACACAAGAAGGAGAGCTTGGAGGTGATGCCCTAATTTTTTTCTTCAATGTATCA